TACATTTACAAAAAAAAAATGTATTTACAAGTCATGCTAAATGATGCAAGAGGACAAGGAGTCATTGCAATTATTCCCACAGATTCATTTAATTGCTTAACAAGAATTAAGCTTACACAAGTAAAATCTAGAATTCATTGCATAAAGTCGAATTTACCTGTAAATTTTTCTCCCTTCACCAATAGAATTTTTGTTATTATTATTATTCAATATTTCCATGCCTCAAACAACTCTTACTTTTCAATGTGTATTTTGATATGGTGTAATGGTTAACAAGCTAGTCTAGTTTATCACTGCTACTAAATAGTGAATTTGATACTCCCTACTTGATAAGCTTAGTAAATAATTTGTATATTTCATGCAGAAATTTCTGGAAAAACTGATCAATATCTCGGATTTCGCTTTTTGGGATGACTACTCCATTTCTATCTCCTTCGACATGAGTGGTGGAAGAAAAAAACACTGAGATAAAGACATCTTCAACTTTCTCTTATGAGGAAAGCCTACTGATGGTAAACAAGTTAAAAAAAAAAAAAAAAAAAAAAAGAAAAAAAAAAAGGTTAATTTTCTATCCTGTTCAGCCTAAAATCACTTGTAATGTTTTATGACCCAATATGAATATGTATTTAAATACAATTATTTTATGGTTTTACAACTTTATTTTTTAAAAGATATACTAAATCCTATAATATACATGATAAGCCATAGGTAACTATTCTCTCCTTAATATATCAAGCTGTAAGAAAATAAATGGCCAATGTTTTAAATTTACCATATTGTAGAATGACCTTATCAGGAACTTGCTTTGAATTGAATCTTTGAAGACCATACACGGCCATGGAAAAGGAAAAAAAAAAAAAATAAAAGCATAAATTTTATATTTAATTTCTGAAACACTTAAATACAAGTGTATTTATAAAGAAATTACAAATCTAAATTATATTGTCTATAAGTATTTAAATTTTTTTTGTCTTTTATGATTGTAAAAGTTTTAACACTATGAAAAAGGCCATTTTGCAAATGAGTAAATTGAACATTGACTAAATATGTTCACAGTTAAATGTTACTGCTTTCTGACAAAGTTTCTTAGTAACATAAACAGTGAATAAATATAGAAGTAGTTAAAGTCATGACACAACAGCTAAAATATAAAACATTTAACAAAAGAAGTTTGAAATTTTTTTTTTTGTGTAGAAATTATTGTGCCAAAGGTACGAAATATGAAGGTGATGAAATTTTTTTTAAGGATAAATCAAAAATAATTTCAGAAATATTTTAGTTAGATCAAATGTTGGAAATACAATGCAGAATACAGACTAAAAATAAAACGATTGTCAGCAAGTAGAAAATTAATTCCATTCATTTAAAATGTTTCAATTGATTCTGCCATCATATAGATCTCTCATTTTGAGATGAACACAAATCCCACCAAAAACTTCATTTTTTTTTTTTTTTAATACATTTCTTATTCAAAATGGATCAGTCTCACAGAAATTTATGTTATTAAATGGCAACCAGCATTTTGTTAAAGTCTGCTTTGAAATCCAAATATTGCAATATGATGATGATGGTCCCTCACGACTTTTAAAGCACTCATCTTTATTAAAATAAAAAAATTAAAAGTAAATATCTATATTATATATAAGACCACAGACATGTGCGTGTTATTCTTTTCAGGTTGTGCTATCCTGGTTTCAATTTACTTTCCCTCTTGTTAGAAAAATGAAATTTAAGTAGGGACAAAAATAAAGATCATAATGCAAGGTAATGAATACAAATATTAAATTTTAAATAATTAAATAGTAACGTTATTTGAAAATAAAAACATGAGAGTGAACTTTAATCTCAATCATGGACTCCACTTTGAACACCTGAACAAGACGTCAAGGCACTGGAGTGGATTTCCATAACAGGCACAGATTTCAATCTCACTGAAAATTGGCTTCCCAAGAACAAAGGAAAAAAAAAAAAAATACATACTGCAATCTTCAAATTTATGACAAAAATTTATGTAGTATTTAGATGAGGCAAAGTTTCAATAGTAGAGCATTTCCATCTTTTGTCTTTACTGTAATCTCATTAGCCTAAATAAAAAGTATCTATCTTTCATTAACACAAAAACATATCTCCTGCTGCATCTTTTTTTCTTGTTCCAAAATTGACTTCAACATCGTTCTCATTTCTATCCTAACTCAATTTTCTTTTTAATACAGGCAAAGTAAGGAAAACTATAACTTTGCAATTCTATGAATTTAAATCAAAACAATTTGGTAGGAATAAAACTTCCAACTAGTCTTTGGGTGAATTTAAACAATGAAGCTATTTACCGTGAGGTGGAAAGAGACCATCTCACTGTAGAAAGGGCAGATAACAAAGGTTTCATTTTTTGTGATAATAAAATAAATACAGTAATAAATAAAAACTCAGGAAGATTTATAGCTTAATGGTAAGAGCACATGACTCGAAACCAGAAGGCTTAGTGTTAAAAAAAAAAAAAAAAAAAAAAAATAAAAAATAAAAAAATAAATCACAGTTCAACTTGTTATCCATGACACAGTTATTCAAAATTCTGACAAATTAAAAAAGTCCAATAGGATACTTTAGATAAAGAAAGAACCCACTTAACATTAACAGCAAACTACAATTGAGTCAAAGAAAATATCCTGGGAAAAAAAGATAGGCACTACCATGTTAAAAAAAAAAAAAAAAATCCCTATTTTTCATAATTAATAAAGACATTTTATTTTAAAAAAATAAAAAAAAAACACAAGTGTGAGGAAACTAAATTTAAACTTCTTAATGCAAATGTTGCTTCATCTGATCGAATTTAATCTAGAGCTATGTCCCCTCAAAATGACAAGAATAACTGATCAAAATGGGACTAGACTTGTGATGCTCCATCTTAGAATTTACCAAGCATCCAATGTCTAACAGTTTGTTTTTTAATATGGAAATGTAGGATAACAATGGAAGTTGAAATTAATGAGGTCAAAGTTTGTTTTTTTTGGAAAAAAAAAGATAAATAATAAAAAAGATAAATAAAACAATGATAATTGTTACCTGGTAAATGAAAGAGAATGAAAGTTGCTGGCTGATGTTCAAAACTGATTCCATCTTGAGTTTAAAAAAAGGCAATAATGACAGTTGCCAAAACAATCAAGAAATTGACAAAGCTATTCTCAATAGCAGTGATTGTTTTGACAAGAGAAAAAAAAAAAATTGAAAAAGTTTAAGAAAAAAAAATTTTTTTTTTTTTGCTCCAATTTATTCCAGTCTAAAACAAAATGAGGAAAAATGGAAAAGCACAATCTAACAGACTTTGGAGGAGAAAAATCTCCACACAAGTAACAAAAAGAAAATTGAATAAGGAGTTAGGATTTTTGCTTTTAACATCTTTAAGCAGAAGAAATCTCTTGAGACCAAAAGCAAACAACTTGGGGGTGAGGAGAGCTGTTATGAAGGTAAGGAAAAAAAAAAAAAAGGTTTGACTGCTAAAATGACCAGTGGTCATCCATCCTCAACTAACATACAAAAAATGAACATAATCACACCCAGAGTTTCAAATAACAAAATATCTATTTTTGTTCTCTTTACAGACAAATCGGTAAATGAAAAAAAAAAAATAAAAAAAAAATTACAAAACTATAAATTTTACTCTCAAAATAAAGAACTAAAAATATAAAATACTATATAAATATCTTCGATAAGGGCATTGTCAGAAATAATTATCAATGGGGGAGGGGGGGAGAGATGACATGAAACTGGAATAAGTAATTTCAGGTGAAACAAAGCTTTCTCTGGGAAAGGTCAAGGGCAAGGGGAGACAAAAAAGTGTTTAAGGCTTGTAAAGGGTCACAGAGGAGGGGGGAGTCAGTGACAATTTTCTCCTCTTCGTATTTTGTTAGTCATTTCACCTGTTTTGGAGAGTTTTTATATATTTTGAGATTTATATATATATATATATATATATATATATATATAAATTTTTTTTTTTTTTTAAACTTTTTAGAATGCTTCCATACATATATAGATATCTTTGTTTTATACATGTAATACCAGTAATAGAAGGAGTAAGTGATCTCTGAAGAAACTCATTGCTAAAATTAGTTTCCATCTTTAAAAAAAAATTCTTTCTCACAAATATTGTATCCAAAAGATTTTTTTATATATATATATATATATATATATATATATATATATATATATTTTTTTTTTTTTCATTTTATTTTATTTTAACTTTTTTTTTTTCAGTTTTGTTCATAATGACTTTTTGTTTTGCATTTTCAAACCCTTTATTAAAGATGAACATGATTATGTTTTGCTTGGAAGATGGACGTCATTTCTCTCGATCTGAAAAAAGGCTGCTGCTTCTGCTGTTCATGGCTGTCAGCCATATTGTGTAGAATGGCAAAGAGAGAGATTTAAAATAATGTTTAATATCAAAGTGCAATGCCAAACATATTGGAGCCAAGAAAATGGGAGGAAAATAAGCACCAGCTGAGGAATGGTCAGTTGTACAAAATGGCTGCTGTATATATAACTAGTGTATATGTGTGTGCATACACGCATCTTAATATTTGTAGTGTTATTAATATAACCTGAAGTTGTGTGTGTGTATGTTTGTTCACGCATATACACACAACTTTGCATATGTTGGTCTAAGTCATTTATGCACATGAAAATGCATTTTATATCACAAAGATGTGGGTTTAATGCAATGTGTGTGTGAAAATTGTGTGTATACAGATAACAAGCCATTCAATTCTTGCTGTCCTGACAAACTGACCAAACAGTCAGTGATCACTCCAAAATGATGGAAAACACAGAACAGTAGAGGCTGACTAAAATGTTGTCCCATCAGAATCTACTTCTGGGTTTTAGTAATTTGGTCTTTTCCCCTTGCCAATCTTCAAAAAAGTAAAGAATCTGGTCATTTTTTTTTAATTTTTTTTTTTTTCAACTGTGTTAATGTAGTTTTTTTTTTCTTTTGTCCTGTTTATTTAATCCTGTAAGTTCTGAAGAAGCTTCAGTCTCCCAGCTTCATAATCATCCTCATCAACATTCACCAACAGTTTAATTGCTTCATGGCCAACAGCCTGTTTTAGAGACTCTGAAAGATGGGTTGAGAAGAAAAAAAAAAACAATTAAACATTAAACAGAAAAAAGTTGTTATTGTTATATAACTGCACTAAACAAATTTGACAAATACCAGTGAGTAATCAACAAATTTGTCTTGGCTTTGGTCTTTGGCTGCAAACAAAATGTTTAGCAGTGTTTATTTTGTTTTTTATAGAAGCCTTAAGAGGCAAATCAGAAATGGTTTCATAAGTAGTTATGTCAAATTTGTATTGAGAACCTAGACAAGATGTTCATGTAACATTTGATATCATGGCAAGGATTTATTCAACCAATACATAACATATACAGTCACTTTAATGTTGACAAATATAGCAACACAGCAAATTCTGGCAGCACAGAATAAAATAAAATACAAACAAATTAATAAAAATCCAACAATAATCTCATTTCTATTTCAGTAGCAACTGCACTTTAACCCAGTGTACAGAGGCAAGCCTCTTGCTCTACTTCAACAAATCACTGAATTTTCTGCATTAACAATTTTCTAATTTTAAATAAAAACTTTAAAAAATTATAGCTAAATAGTGAATTTTGATATTTTGTACCTAAATTTGAAGTTTCAACATTAAATATGTTGTGCATTGCAAATGAAGAAAATAATGATTGTCAGGGATTTTAAGACAAGCCTTACAGAACCTTAATGTATATTGCATTAACAAAAGAATAATTTCAAGAATAGAGAAAGTTTCTAATAGATGCACACACACACACACACACATGATGAATGAAATTTTTTTTCTGAGAAACATTTTTTTATTTTACTCAGTCTGAGAATCTAATGGAAAATATAAAATAAATTTTGGAAAAATTGGGTTTCATTTACACAATATTTAAGACATTATTTACTCAGCAAAATCTTAAATGTTTTGAATTTCAGAATTATTTAAACTCACAGAATCAAAATAGTATATAATGGTCATTTTCTTTTTTATGGGAGCAAGTATCTAGTTTCCTTGTTTTTGTTACAGTATTCTAGTTTAATTGAGGAGGTACTGTCTAGAAGACAGATTCTCAATTGCTAAGATAGAATTGTTAGGGCATTGTTGTAAAATAATCATCTTTTCATAAGAGAAATCAAAATTCATATCATCAGTCTCACTTTTAGGTATTCATCTTACTATAGTGATTTTTATTCATAACATTATGAATCTTCCCTAAGATGGGCACTCATCAGTAGTGGGCCATTATAAATTCTTCTGTGAGGCTAAAACACATTCTACTTGGAAGACAAAAAAAAAAATCTCTTAATGTTTTCTCGCAATAAACATGAGTATTAAGTGAATGACTTTTGTTATTTTTCTTGTTATGACAAGGTTAAGTTTGATATGAAAAGCCTACAAGGTAAATGTAAATAAATTTTACAAGCAAGCTAGAATTGAAAAGTTTAAACATATTTTTATTATGAAATAGTTTTGTTTTTTTTTTGTTGTTTTTTTTTATTTAGAACTAAGATTGGAACAAGGAGGAAAAATCCCAAACTTTTACAAAATCCAAAATTGAAACAAAAAATGCAGATTGTTTTGATGAAAACCAAGAGTTTTGCTTGCACAAAACAATGCAACCCCCAAGCGATTTTCTTGGTTTCTATTTATTTTCTTTGATGGAAATACATGGTCTTTGAAGTACTGAGAAGTCCCATATTTTTTAAGGTACTTCTGAACCTGGTTGACCAAGAACAGTCTAGACCAAGGAGGAAAATATCTGAGAAGTTATTACTTATGAACTCCTATTTTGCCTTAATATTGAATATTAACAAATTAAAAAGTAAAAAAACAACATATGGGTCAAAATTATTAAAGGAAACATTTTGTTGTAAAATTAAAAGTACTTCGAAAGTGCATTTTTTTTTTTTTTTTTTTAACACCACTTATTTGAAATATAGCTCTTTATTCGAAATAATAGATGAACAATGTTCAATAATTTATTTTTCAATTTCACCAATAGAGAAAAAATTTTTTGGGGGGGTGGGTAAATGACAGGATTTCTTTTTGGCCTGGATTTCTAATTGACCAATGGAGATATTTGAATAGCAAAACGTGATCTTTCTTTGGTATTAAGACAGAATTGAGCCAATGAAAAAGTAGCAATATGAAGGTCAGAGATTGGAGTGAGCAGCTAAATTTGACTAAGACATGTATATAAATTGCATCCCCCCCCAAACTTTAACCACCCTCTTAAGAGTTCTCACTATAAACCCTTCAGTTTGGAACCTTGGACAGTTAGAACTAAGGGATATCAGCAGACCCTGTCAATATGCTGGCTGATGCTCCAATATGTAAAAGTGTTTTGCACCACTTACCTTGACCTTTGAACTGAAGAACAGTCACCTAGTCTGGAAAATTGTATTTATTTTTTTTAAGTTGTACTATTTTTTTTTCTAAAAAGTAATGTTAATTATAAATGAACATTTTTGTCATTCATTTTGATTTACACAGGTGATTGCGAGAAATTTCTGTCACAGAACTGCAATGAGTGAAATACCCTGCCTCTATAGAAGGTACCTCTACATTTTCACTGAAAAGAAAAACAGCATAGAATGATGAAAAAAGGCTCCAAACTTAAAAACAAAGGTTTATTGTAAAAATGTTTATCTTATTAAGAGGAAAGACCAAAGTATTTTTTTTTATTATTAAATTTTTTAATCCTTTCTAACATGTTCCAAATTTATTTAAAAATCGTTTTTTTCACATCAATGTTAATTTAAGATTAGTGTTTTGCTCTTTTTTCCCTCCAGTGAAAAACACATTGATTTGGAAATCCTTGCAAATAATTGTCAGATTTTAATGAAACTTTCAGGACTTATTCATAAATACATGAAATTATTTTTGAATTTGTTTTTTATGTTACCTTCCACTTATTAATTTCATGAAATTTTGAGAAATTAAATTGTAATCTCAAAAATTTGTTTTATTAGTTAAAAGGAGAACACTTTGGGGAATGTAAATCATTTTTTTTTATTTTCAAATACTACTCATTTCCCAAAAATCTGCTCCGAATCTTAAAATAAAAAAAAAATGCAATAACACTGACATTATTTAATTAGAAAAGCTATTAATTGTTTTTATGAGTAAGATTTATTAAGGACACTAATGTCTTAAAAAAAAAAAAAAAATTTCAATGAATAATGAAGAACCGTTTTCATTTTTTAAAAATTTTAATTATAATAATTTATAATTTTATAAATTTTTTTAAAATTCTGCATTACTTCAATCCAGTTAGGCAATAATGTTATTAAGTAAAAACTACATTTACGAATCAAAAATTGAAGAGCTCAATAAAAGCCGTTTACCCACAATATATTTTTTTAAATCTTTAATTATTTTTATGTATATAAAATAGTACATAACTCTCCCCTGTTTGAAAGTCTGATTAACCTTACAAGACATAATCAGAAAATAAGAGTGATGACTATGATAAATTTAAATCCAACATTCCTAAAATTAGATTACAGAGAATATTTTCCAACGTTCAAGATTACTGAGTACTTAAAAATAATATAAAAAAGGCATTCAGTCATTTTCTTAAATTATGTTTTAACTGATAAAGTCTCTGTAGAACAACAGTAAATGTGTTGACAGATTTTATCATCACTTGTCAAGTGATCTATGAGTGAGAAGTGACAGTGTTAGGTGCATAATATCAGCTACCGTTTGTTTTAAAAATCCATTTCTCTATTATTTTAAACTTAAAGTAAATAATATTTTTTCATATCAGAATAATTATAATTAATCAGCTAATATTCTTCAAATAAAGCTTCAGAAAAGTATATTTTTGGAAGATTTTTAAAACCAAGAATTAACTTGTTTACAAATGTGTCAAAATGCGTCAAAATGCGCCAATCAGAAAAATCGCTCAGTGAATAAAAGCTGTCATTTTTTGCTTACCAGGGTAGGATTTTTTCTGAGCTTGGTGGACAAACATGCATTTTTGCTGGTGAGAAGTGAATGCTGGATTTGTGACCCCATTTTGTCGTTTCTACATTGCCTGTTGAACTGTTACGATGGACTATCCTTTGAACCATGATTTCGCTACAAGTGTTGCGGACGAGAGACAGAAGAAACCTATTGAAGGTATTTATTGCTACTATAAATTTACAGTTTTTTTTTTCTTTTCTTTACTACAAGCTATTTTGGCACTTACTTTGTCTCTAGCAAGATGGCTAAAAACTGTTCGACATAAAATTGATCCCCAAATTCAGTGGTGATACAAGTAGACAGCCTGTGGTTGAGTGGATCGCGAATATAGAACTGATATGCGAATTTTGCGAGATCATGGAGATCGAATGAATTCTTCCAGTGCACTTGAAACGCAGTGCCCTTGCTGTGTATAGGCAGCTGAGCAAAGAACAAAAAAGTGACATTGAGCAAATAAAGCGTGCTCTACTAACCGCATTTAGAACCGACCAGTTCGTGGCCTATGACAAATTCCAGACGTGGTGTCTGTGGCCTGGCGAGATAGTAGATGCATTTCTGACGGAATTAAAGAAGCTCACCGTACCAATCGCACCACTCCCTGAAGAATGGATGACCAGTGCCTTTGTCTGGATTAAGCAGATACTCCACACATCATCCCAATGGAAGACATAACGCTCAACCAGTGGTTGACCAGCCATCCATTGCCATGGCGATGTCACCTGCTATCAGTTCTCTGGGCCAAATCATTTTGCCAAAGATTGCCACTACCAATGCTAAGAAATGCCTGGCGGGTCGACATAAAAGGCACATCCCGATCTACGATATTTTCAATGTCATAAAGTAGGTCACATTGCCTTTAAGTGTCCAGGAAATGGAATGGGGAATGCGACATCAGCTCCAGTCTCTTCCCCATACCAAGCATGAAAGAGGCGCTCCCTGTGATTAAGGTTTGCATCAATGGAATAACACATACTGCTTTAGCAGATTCGGGCTGCTCTCAGTCACTCACAAACGGATCAATTTGTCAGCAGTGGAGCAGACAAAAGATGAACAATGGAAAGGCTCTCAGGAGCTGAGGAGTCGGAAACATCAAACTCAGTATCAACAACGGTGACCCCGTCACAGTCAGTTGTTGGTAGTGGACAGCACGTTAGGTTTCGACCTGCTTCTTGGGATGGACATTATTAAGGAACTGGGCGGAGTACACATCACAGAGTTGGGCAAAATCGAGTTTTCTAGTCCGCCCATCTGTGCTGCTTTGAGGATCAACGAGCCTGACTTCAGCACAGAGTTCGACCAAAGGATGAAGACATGGACAACGTTGTGGAAATGGTCGGAAAATAACCCACCAGAGAAGCTCCAGAACTGAGTGTCAGAATATTTGGTTCCCGAACACGTCAAAGAAGAATACCAGCGCGAATTGCAGGTGTGGCTGGACAATGGATGGCTGACTCCATATCCTGAGGAAGAGCTTAGTCCTCCAAAAGGCTTCATTCCGTTGATGGTGGTGGTACAGAAGAACAAGAGAAAGGTGTGCCCCGTACTAGATTATAGAGAACTGAACGAACATGTAGACACATATATGGCTCATGCTTTTGTGTGTGCACAAAAATTGAGAGAATGGCAAAGGAAGTGGTCCAATGTCTCTGTGATTGACCTTTGAAAGGTCTACTTGCAGTTACACGTGCACCTGTCACTGTGGCCATTTCAGAAAATGATCCTTAACAGGAGGAGATATTGCCTAACGCGAATGGGATTCAGGCTCGATGAGGTGCCGGCTATCATGAAAGCCATCATGGATGCTGTGCTATCCAAGGATGAGACAATTCGTCAAGCGATGTCAGCTTACATTGATGACATCTACACCAACAAAACCTTAGTGCCCGCTACACAGGTGAGACAGTATCTTGCCGACTTTGGGTTCGAGTGTAAGAACCCAGGATGAGTGGAGGATGGTGCCTGTGTGCTCGGCTTGCAGGTCTGGGGGGAGCATAACATGTTTTACTGGAAAAGTGAAAGCAAGCTCCCAGACATTGCCAGACACATGACACGATGCAGCATGATCTCATTATGTGGGAACGGGTGGGACATTTTCGTGTGGGCAGTTGGATCCGCATTGTGACTGCCTTTATCAAACGTAGGGTGACTGCTGTCACTACCAGCTAGGATGAAAAAACAAATGATACTCCCCTTAGAGACATGATAATGGAAGTCATTACCAGGGTATGTCAAGACGACCTTGTACGTGGTAAATGGTGCATTGACAGATGTGATTTCAATGTATGGGTTGATGCAATCTCCCTTGCGACAGAAGATTCCCTTGAGATAGATGTAACTGTCGTAGAAGACGCATGTTAGTTGCATCCTGAGAAGGAAACACAACATATCAACCTGTCGGAATTGGACGCAGTTATTAAAGGAGTAACCGTGGCCCATCAATGGAATGCAAAAATGTTGCATTTGTTCACCAATTCCGCATGCGTGCATAAGTGAATAGTAAACGCTCTTACGGGTAAGACCAGAATACGTACAAAGGCTGCGAGTGAAATGCTCATTCGAAGGCGACTAGTCACGCTGGGAAAGTTGGTAAGTCAGTACAACTTATCAGTGGATATACTGCTGGTTAGATCAAATCAGAACAAGGCAGATCATTTAACAAGGGTGACCCAGAGATGGCTTGATGCTATTAAGAAAGAGGTAGAGCATCAGCATGCAACCAGAACTCAGATCTACTAAAATCTGTGCATTGTCAAAGCGGATATCCTGGTGTAAAATGGATATTTCATGAGGCAGATTGTATCCAATGCTGCCATCACGGCAGTGGTCAGAGAATGCAAGGAGTGTCAGTCCATCAACCCAGCACCTGTGCAATGGCCAAAAGTACAACTGAATGTGAGCAAAGTGTGGCACAGTGTTCGAATGGATATCACCCACCATAATGGAACTCACTATCTAACCCTGATTGGCCGAACCTGGTTCACTATTTGGTGACACCTGCATTGACATGATTTCGCAAGCGTGATTGACCATTTGAGGTTGTTGTTCTTTGAACATGGACCTCCGACAGAACTCCTCACTGACAACAACACTGCATTCCGCAGTGGACTATTTAAAAATTTTTTTGATTCATGGGGAGTCCAACTCAGATTTCGCTGTGCATATGTCCCATCAGAAAATGGCATAATCGAGCGATGCCATTGGAGCATCAAGAGAATCGCTGCTAGGAAGCAGTGTTCCATAATAGAAACTGTGTATTGGCACAACGTTACCCCTAAAGAAATGTGTCACCCTCAAATGCGCCAGCCAACATGATTTACCGTTACAAAGTCCAGCTAAGAGGCATTGACATGATGTGTTCAACTGAACAGACAAAAAAACGAGCACCATACAACCTGGGCGATCGCATGTGAGTAAAAGCCCCACATAGCCAGGGTGGGGCATATCACTGGAATCAGTAACTCACGCACTGTGCTGGTTGATAGAATACCAAGACACGTAAAGGACTTGCGTCCCTGTGTAGGTTCAGATACTTCAGTAAGTGATACTAGCAGTGAGTGCTCAGGAAGTGAAAGAATAATCACCATTTGGTGTAGGGCTAGCACCTCTTCAGATTCCACGTTACCTGTTAAACTGTTATAGACAGACTATCGTTTGAATTGTGATTTGGCTACAAGTACTGCAGATGAGAGACAGAAGAAACCTGTTGCAGGTGTTTATTGCTACTATAAATTTACAGGTTTTTGGGTTTTTTCTTTATCACAACAGACCAAAAAGATGAGATTCCAATCAATATAATTTCTATTTGAAACACACCAGATTATTTTTCTTACTAGAAATAGTAAATTTAATCATTTAGTTTTTAATTAAAGCTAAAAAGAAAGCTTTTTTTATTCTTGAAAATTCATTTTAAACCTTAGCTATCAAACATTCAGTGGAGGTGCCTACTCTAGAATAAAGCAATAATGAAATCTTATGGTTATTGGATTTTTGAAAAATTTTTAAACACAGAAATTATATTGTTGATATTAATCATGGTGTCAGTTATTGACAAAAACATTGTATATTTTTTTTTTTTTTTGAAAACTGAAATAAAAAAAAAAAAAAACAAACCCCATCTTAAACTGGCTAATTTAGAATCAGACTCACTAAACAAGTGATGGTCAGAAAACCTAGTTTGCCAATAAACTGATTCATTCATTCATTTTCTAAGGCTTTTCAACTCATTACTGGTTATTTAAAGCCAGAAAATATTTTAGATTGTAAGACGTTTTTTTTTTTTTTTATTTAGATAATGAATTAATGCTATTAAGTCTTACTAATTAAACCATAGCTGGTGGGAGACTATGTGGATTCATACCTTTTCCAAAGGGTATTTGTGCATGAGTGAATATAATGAACCCAACAGGAATTGAAACTGCTCTCCAATTAACAATTTAAAGCCATTACACCACCCATACATCTATGCTTACAGCACTTGGTATTCCCATCTCACAACTGACCAGGTTTGCTGTTGCTTTACTTCAGTGGTCATACAGGAAACAGAGTTTCAACATGATATGGCCATAAGTTGCCAATAAATTGCTCTATGGTATAGACCCATATCATGACATAAATATGAATGAAAAGAGAAGTACTCTTTGGAATCCTATCATTCTTTCTGCTGATATTTTAATAATGCACTTGAAATGTTCCTATGGTTAACATTGGGGATCAAATAAACAAAAGCAAAGAAAAAAGACATCTCCCATTCTCCTTTAAATTTATACTCAAGATTTTGAAAATATCTATAAATGTTTTATAAAAGTTCAACACAAACCCTTTGCAGTTGCCTAAACAGTAACATAAATTATGTACAAGTTATTAAATATATAATGGAAATTATACATATAGTTCAATTCAAGTAAAAATGCTTACAATAATACCTGACCAATAATAATCCCTTTCTTCTCATTTGCAGTGCATTGCTCACAATATATTTATATTATACATATAACAGCTGTATTCTATTAGTAACACTTACCTTAATTCCTTAATAATGACAATCCTATTTTTCAGATTTTCTAAAATTTGCTCAAGTTGTAAGTCAAAAAATTGCAACATTCTTTTTGGGAAGTCAATTTCCCATCCTATAACAAGAAATACTTAATCTGCCATTGTAGATATTACTAAAATTAATGTGAGAGAGAGAGAATGTGAGTGACTGACTGAAAAGCATAGTCAGTTGGCTATGATAAGTCAAAACCTTGTTGACATTTGGTATTTTTGTCAAGTCACTTTATGCAATCTTTAAAGTGAAAGTTTTACCTCACTTTTTTTAAGTTACATCTTATGAGTTACTCATAACAGCTAATATAAAAACAATGACATAATTCCTATTGCATTTAAATATTACATAACATATATAAATAGAATAGCAAATTTACATACAGATCAGCATTTCTACCTAGCAAGAGATTGTTTAGACGTTTAGTTGTAATAGGGGGACAACTTTTATTTAGTGTCTGGCCTTTAGCAGAAATCTTAACAGCAATCAAAAACTAAATTGTTCATAAGAACAGTTGGAAAGAGTAAAAAGAAAAAATTCAAAAGTCATCTTTTAGTGCATCAAATGAATAGGGACATTATGCCACATTATCAGTTAAAAAGAAAAGAAAAAAAAAAAGGCTTTTCTATTTTCAGCCCAAATTTAGATACCTAAAATTATAATAATAATAACAGAACTGAGAAAATACATAAAAATTACAGAAATTTTACATGCTTTTTCAGCTTCTGCTAAAATGTGCTCAATAGATAACTAGAAAGGTTTGATTTATTAAACATCTGGACTTTAGCATTTTGATGCAAAACTTTTTGAGTTGGCTAACCAGATAAGTCAATTGAACTTTTAATTGAATAAAAATTGTAATAAAGAAAAATACTTTGTCTCAGGATTTTATGAAAGAGAAAAATAATCAAAGAAATAAAAGGTAGGAAAAAAAAAAATCCGCATTACATACCTGTAATGAAGACACCTTTCAAAGCTTCAAGCAAAGAGCCATTAATGTAATCTCGCCAGAATGCATCCAAATACGTGAGTTCAGAGAATTTTATATCACAAATAATGGAACCCAGATCACGGGACTTGAGAATTGTATTAGCCTGGGCAAATTTTTCAAACTGACGTTCCAACAACTCAGGTTTGTTGGAAAAGACATTGCCTTCAAGGACATTTTCATGGTGACAATACTCTGCTCGCACTCGTAATCGAATATCTGGAAATAAAGAGTCATGAAAATAATGAATCAATGTAGTGACATAAAAACATCAAATTACATCATGATAGATTAAATATGCATTTACATAGATACAATGTTGTCCTAGTGTGTCTTTACCAAAATAAAAGCTGAATTTTCTATCAAGAGAAATATCAAAGTGAATTTATAGACAATTACTCAATAGTTCATTAAGATAAAGATTTAAAAAAGGTACAATTAATGGGTCCAGAAGTTTGACACTGCATAAAAACTGACATTTAACTGTAAAACAGAAAATGCTGTTAAACTAAGGATCATGTTTGTTAAATTAGAATTATTATATGTAATAATGTTTATGTATTTTACTTGTGATATACAAAAAGTGTGACATGCACTATATATATATATATATATATATATATATATATATATATATATATATATATATATATATATGAATGATAAAAATATAGTTTTAAGGTATGATATATTTACTGGGATAGACCATATGTAAAAATATAAAATATGTGGATACTGAGGTCAACACAGAGCAGCAACAATGTTTCAGGCTTGAATGCAATCCTCAGGATATATATATATATATATATATATATATATATATATATATATATAGGACTAAACGGCTGTCCAGTGCTTTCTGCATTCTGTTGAGGTTTCTATCAGACTCGATGAATTAATTAAATATAATTATCAAATCCTCCTACTAATTACTATCTGTGTTTATCATCGCTTGAACCGGCTTCTAATGCTCCAGTTGGTAGCGGCTTGGTGAGAGTAGTCGTGGCTCCAGGGGGCACAGTCCTATGGTTACAGAGAACTCAGTTGAGTTCCGCCACAGAATATGTGAGTGAGCGGCGCTAAGTTGAGTCTGATTTGGAATCTCTTCGTCACCGAGGCCCATTTGGAACAGTTGGTATGATGTTCGCTTGACAACCTAACTGTCAGGGTTTCAATTCTCGGTAGTGGATGCACACTGCTGATGAGTCCCAAATATAGGACGAAACAGACGTCCAGTGCTTTCTGCATTCTGTTGAGGTTTCTATCAGACTCGATGAATTAAATATAATTATCAAATCCTCCTACTAATTACTATATATATATATATATATATATATATATATATATATATATATTTTAAAATTTGTGTATTTAGGCAGCAAATTCTATTTTAGGCATGTCTGAATAAATTACAAACATTATGTCTGCTTATTTTTATCCTAATCCTTTTATATTCATGAATATCTTTGCATATATTACAATTAAATAAGTATACAGAAAAATATTTGTGAATATGAAAGGATTATGATAAAAATAAGCAGACAATGTTTATAATTTATTCAGACACATACAAGCATACATTATATATAAACGATAAAAAAGAAATGAACACTACAGATAAAGTTCATTTTCTTCATAAAGTCATTCATTCTTGTAATTTACTGCTAACAAGCAGAATTTTTTTTTCTCCTGATGGCCATGTTGGCCAAAACTAGTCAAGGAATCTAATTGAAATAATAAAAAAATATTAATATACAACCCAGTGTGTCTGAAAATTTTAATTTTTTAATTTCTCAATATTTTTTATTCTTCAAAACATTTATATATATATATATATATAACAGAATTAAGCATGCAGATAACTTGTAACATTAAGAAACTTGTTTTTTAATATTATCAGGATTCAATTCCATGTTCTAGCTGTAATTTTGTTCCTCTCATGACAAAATCAGAATCCACATCCATTCATATATATATATATATATATTTTCAATGAAAACAGACAACTTTAAGGGTCCATTGGTTATAATTTATTTCCCTAGGGAACTTCTTTTTCTCTGGCTCATCAGACCACACTTCTGAGGGTGAAAAAATGAATTTAAATTTACATATATATTTTATATATATATATATATATATATATATATATATATATATATATATACTTTTGAGGGGGTAGTATTAAGTTGATGTACAGAGTAGGGAGATGGTGATAGACATGGTTGAAATTAGAGAGGGGAAGGGATATATATATATATATATATATATATATATATATATAAAATAAAGTACTGATGTAGGTTAACCATCAATAAAAAGAACTGTAATTTAAAAATATTAGTCCTGTACTTGGAAAAGAAAAAAGTAACCTACTATCTTCTTCACTACATTCTGAAATATGAATTAATCTCAAAGTTTTAAGGGGGGGTCTATCAAGAGGTTAACTCCATTTCACAGCCACTAATGAATGGGTGACAAGTACTTTATACCTAACTGTGCCCTGACAATTCTTGCTCTGCTTCTCTCACCACCACTCACATTTGTAGACCTTTTTCAATCCTGATACACATATCTAAGGCAGCAGTATTTAGTCTATTCTAAAAAGCATCTTCTCCCACCAATGTCAACCTCGGTGTACAAATACCTTCAGTTAATGCGCCCCGATTCTTATACTGGGTCATCATTCTCTTTGGTTGTAACCAAAAGATTTTTTACTTGGATACATAACCACACTCAATCCAAGTGATGAGAAAGAACAAAAACACATTCATCATCTTCAAGCAAAAAGAGTAAATTTATTTTATTTTTGAGACAAAGCCTTTTCCCTATTATAAGAGAGTACTTAAAAGTTCTCAGCCTGACACACTTCCCTAAATCTAACCAATATTGTTCAGGCTTATTTCAACTTTCTAGGTCAATAGACCTCATCAAAAGCTTCATTCCAGTGCTGGATTTAATGGCCAAGCAAGTTGTGAGAAAAAACAATAAGATGATGTGAAGCAAGTAATAAAATAGTGAAAATGATTTATCTAAAAAGATCAACAATAACAATTACAAGGTAGTAAAAAACAAAGGTGGTGTAGAGAATTGGAGAGATGTGGGCTGCAGAATTATGAGATTTGTACATCACTTAATCATCATTAACTCTTTTATGATTAAAGTCAGGTAAGATCCATGAAAGATAGCCTCCCAAGATAAGGAGTTGAAAGTTCTAGTCTCATTGGAATCTGTTTCCAATTCCAAATTTCCAATTTGTTCTCAGTCAAAGAATATTAACAAAGAGTGTTGTTATTAAAAAACAGTAAGATGGAAAAAAGCTAGTAATAAAATAATGGATTTCTTTTTCAGGAGATTGTTTCAAAGAGCATTTTGTATGGTCAAGACTCCCTACATCTATGGTGACAATTACCTATCAACATCAGAGTAAGAGACACCAATAGCAAAGAAACAGCATTTTGTTCAAACCCTAAAGTGATTAATAAAATGGTGAGTGACAGAAATAGACATGTAGTTCTTAAAATAGATACCTTTTTTCAAACCTTTATCTTTGTAAAATCCAACAATCGCAAGAAAGAAAATTTACATCAAATTAAAACAAATTGTATAACACTAAGGGAACCTTGAAGGGTACATAATTGTGAAATCATAGTAGGAATCTGGTCATGTTCAATCTTCACTGGGTACTCTTCACTTATTTTAGTACAAGGCCATAAAAACTAAGTAAAAAAAAATCTAGCAGAATCTAGAAACTTTTAATCAACCCCTCATTCTAAAAGAGATGTGCAAACTCAGCTATATTCTAAACATGCATTTTCTGACATCTAATGGCTTTTGTCTTGTAAAAGCTGTTATATTTAGTGTATGAAAAATTCAAGGGGATGCTTAAAAGGTGTCTTACCTACTACTCCAAAAATCAAGAAAAAAAAAATTTTTTTTTTTGACAGATTCCTGGTCAGGCCAAGAACTTTTCAATCCCCATTTGTGTAATCAAATGTAGTAACTATTGTGGAAGAGAAATAGTGTTATGGCACAATATACAACAAAGTATTTTTCTGTGTATTCTCATAAAAATAAATGCATAAATAATAAAAAATGAGTGAAATTGAACAAAATACTGGCAACTGACCACAAGTAACTTTCTTTTTGATGTCATCAGAATCCTGCGTTTTATCAGTTGTTTTGTCTTGAGAGGAACGAAGTCGAGATCTGCGTCCACCACGACATCTTTTCTGTTTTTTGGTAGCAGGACAAGCTGTGGTTAAATCAGTCTTGCTGGTTGAAGACTGGCCACAATTTTGTGCTCGTTTGTGCCCAATGCGAGAAGTTTCTTCCAGGTATTCATCAACAGGATCGGGAGTAACTGCAAAAACAAACACATTTAAAAAGTTAAAGCATTAAAGACTTAGCACAAAGAAAATGGATTCTGTTGCTGCTAGAAGACAATTTCTGCAATTTATGAATAATAAATTTAATAATTTGTAAGTAATAATACTGGAAATTATCTAGTTCTCAATAATAGTTTATCCATTTAGTTTATCCAATACATTTATATACTACACTTGTTGATAAATGCTCAATTTTAAAAATATGCTAAATAAAATATGCAAATATTACATTGCATCCAGTATGTTGGCATTGTGAGAAGATGACTCTTCCAAATCTTAAAGTAGATAGCTATAGGGCTCAAACAAGTTGTAACAAGAAACAATCCCGAAAATATTCTTGAAAACCATGCATCTTATACAGGCCACTATGATAATTTTTATTTTTTTTAGATCTCATGGGGTATATATATTTTTTTTTACTTTATCCATGACATGTACCAATCTGTGTTTGGTTTTTGACTGGTAATTCACCACTGTAGAGTAGTTTCTGCTTTTAATATCATCATAAAATGCATGGAAAATACCCAGTGCAACAGCAGTTTAAGAACACAAATTTATGTAATACGAAAAAGGAAAATATTAGTTTTAAGAATGGTATACCGATTCGCAGATGAATAATGGAGGATATAAAAAAAAGTACAATTCTCCTTAATTTTCAACAATTCCATAGGAAAAATATTTCTTTTTTACTCTCTTTATCTCTGCTTAAGCATTATTTTAATTCTTCTATTTTGTAATGTCTTTTGGAAGAAACAAGCTTATCTGTTGCTCAATATTGGCTATCAGTGAAAGTTTAGCATTAAGTTAATTCATCATTAAATGGCATATACATCACTCCTTGCAAACTATCATTAATGGATACATAGACAGTTAAGTTAATAAAGTCAATGTGTTTAAGGGACTCCACAAAGCATTAAAGGTACTTGGGTAGGTACAAAGTATATTGATATGTATTTTTTGATGTAGTTATAGATTCAGACTAGTACATGATTAATATCTAATTAAGAATAGTTTAAAGCAAACCATCCTAAAGTGGTAGGTAGTGTAATTGAGAAAGTTAAAATTTTATATCCTAGCAGCTATAAGATATTTTTTCTATCCTTTTAATAAATTTTGCATATTTATTTTCTAAACTCAATTTTATATATTTTATAATAACAATGTTAATTTTGTATTTGATTGTTTAAAATTCAATAACTGATGATTCTTTTTTGAATTTTTGACAAAAAAGAAATTGCCAAAGAAAAACTGTGTATTTTGTTTTTCTAAGTGGATATGAATTTTCGTCCAAGTTACCAATTTTGACTTTCTCCCAAAAATAAATATGGAGCATTCAAGACTTTTCATAAAGAAGGCAATCTCAGGGATGGCATTTCTTCTGATGAAAAATCTTGCAAGCAGTTTTCTAACACAAGAGGATTTTTATGCGTCTCATCTTCCATAGCAAAAATTTGTGAACAACTGATTTTACTGGAAATATGCAAGGACCCTCATGAAGAGAACTGCCTAAATTCCCAAACAGGCTATTGGTGGTTGATCACAACAAATTTCTTGTAATAAAAATTTTGTTGTGATTCAAAGATTTTGGGAAGTCCAGGTTCATTTTATAATAAGAGGTTATAAATATAGAAAACCTCATGTCACTTTGCTGAGAGTTACATATCTATAAATCTACCATTTGAGCATGCTTAGAATATTGCTGCCATATATGGTTCAGTTCCACTACTATTTACCTTGAGCTTAAGATCCAAAGAAGAATCTGCCATATTATTGATCCTGATCTGGAAGCTCAGCTCCAGTCACTTTCCCACCACCATAAGGTTGCCTCTATGTCTTTTCTATAAATATTTTCATGGTAATCGTTCAAATGAGCTCGTCGCTATGGTATGTAGACTTTATGAATTTAAGTGCAGCACTAAACTTTCGCCGAGATCTCATCAATTTAAATTTGAGCTGACTAGATGTAACTAAGTTCTATGCTAATAGTTTCTTCTCTCTCACTTCTCACTTGTGGAACTCCCTTCCAGCTCCATGCTTTCCAGCTAACTTTAATCTGCAAAATTTTAAATGCAATGTCAATTACTATCTACTGCCCACCTGATTACTCTCTTCTTTCTGCTCATCATTAATGTTTCTGCTCCTAATTCTTCAACACCCTGTAACCCCTTGTGTTTTAGTAGCATTACTGCCTTGCTTGGGGTGATTCCAATTAAAAAAAAAAACAAAAAAGAAAAAGAAAAAAAAAACAGTTAAATTCTAATGACTAACAAAAGGTTATGTCAGGTTTAACTTCCTAACTCAAAGAAACCTGTTATAAAGAAAAATGTTTTACGTGTATGTTTATATGCACATAGGCAAAGTTTTTAAATCATCATTGATCATTGACATATCATGCCGAGTTCTTTATAGTATTACATAGCTGTGACAATGTCATGTACATCAGCAGCATATTTATCCCTTTTTAAAAATCAGAATTTAAGCTTCCCTATTTTTCACTGAAACAATGAGAATATGGACTACATTTAAAAAGATATTCTTGCATATTTGTATAGTTTTTACTCAACACAATCAAACTGAACCCACTATCTATAAGTCATGATTACTGGCTTTTATGTAGTTAACCATGTCACTAACTCTTTCACAAGGAATCAAAAGATTAATTCCGTTTTGTTATTAAAAAATTTTCAAAACCATATTACTACAGAGTTCTATAACTGTCTTAATGACCATACACATAAAAAGATAAATTAATCAAGCTGCTAAATCTATTTTATTATTGTAGTTGATCAGCAAGCTCTCTCAAAATAAGTGTGACTATATTTTATAAAAATCTATGACAAAGCAGAAACTTTCTTGTGCAATTTGTTTTGACCTTTATGACTTCTGATATATAAAAAATGTATATATATATATATATATATATATATATATATATATATGGGATAAAGTGCTCAATATCAGAGATAGAGCATGTGTAAATATAAAAGTGAACATAGAAGTCAACACTTAGAGGCGACAGTCTGTTTCATGCTAGATACAATCATCAGGCCTGAATGATTGCATCTAGCATGAAACAGACTGTCGCTTCTAAGTGTTGACTTCTATGTTCACGTGTTGGTGGTACTTAGTGGAAAGTGATCAATATCCTTGATAGAGCTAACATATTCAGTTGCATGTGTAGTAGTTTGCAACTCCGGGTTTCATGCTTTTGTGTTCATCAAACTGGTTTATTTTTTTCAAAAGTGGATTTATTTATGCTTACTTGACATTTTAAAAAATAAACCAGTTTGTCTGATGATTGCAAAAGCATGAAACCCATGGTTACAAACTACTATCCATGCAACTGAATATGTTATTTCTATCACAGATATTGAGCATTATCCACTAAGTACCACACATATAATGTGTGTGTGTGTGTGTGTGTGAGAGATGTGCAATAGAATTTATTTCAAAAATAATTTAAAGATGAAATTTTAAATTTACATAAAACCTATTTTAAAATATTTTCACTTGTCTAAAAAGCTTAAAAATATCCAGCAAAATGGCTTTATAGACAGAACATCACAACATAGAACTAATAAAGCAATCATTATTTAAAACTAGTACTCTGAAAAGGTATTTAAAAGAATTTTTTTTGCTACTCATCTGTATCTCTTGATTTTTATACTTTTAATCACTGATAAAATTTGGCTTTTATACCTTATAATTAAAAGATAAGTTTCACTGCATATACCTTAAAGGAAACTGTTTTTTTTACATTAAAATTTTTATTTTTTAAATAAGTACATGTATTTTAGTAGTTGCTAAAACAATAAGGATTTGAATGTTAGTCTAGAATGGAAATATATATTTCTAATTGTTAATCATAGTGTCGATGATTGGCAGTAAACAATACTTACTTATATACCAGTGATCTATTCCTCAAGTAAAATTCTAGGCCTATACTGTCCACCAAAATTAAACTCATCCATTATATTGCAAGAACAGTCATCAAATAATCATGATTGGTCAAGAAACTGATAATTGCCAATGCTGGGTCCTTCATAGCATCTCAAGTTTGAGAGCAGAAAACAACTATTACATGATAATCAGTAGCAAGGAAAAATCTCTGACTGTATTCCTCAACAGTAACAATTGTGATAAGCCAGTGATGAGACCTTTTTAAGACAATGGTACAGAGCACAGGAAAACATGAATTAATGCCCCTTTTTATAATGTTATTGGTGTGAAATAAAAGCAGTTAAGATCTCTGATTAAAATAATTATATTTTCAAAGCTGATCAAGAAAAACAAAGATTTTTGCCAGAGAAACATTCTCACATAAAAACAATATTTCCACACCATTTAGTCAAGCAAGAGGAATAACCAAATGACCAACTGTTCTGTAATTCTTGATTTGGACGGATTGAAATTCAAACCAGGATGTCTGGTAGATATAAGAAAAAAGTTTTTTGTTTTTTTTTAATTCATGATTTTGTGTTTCATTTTAACTACCAGTTGTTACCACAACCAAAAGGAAATGACCGGAAGACTCACTTCATAGATAGGAACTACTACAATGAGGTAGATAACAGTATCCCAGTTTTCAAAAGAAGAAAAAATTAGCCTATGACAACAAACTTGTTCATCAGATGAAAGATCATAGCTTACTTTATGTCATATCAACCGTTTAACTTTAATAATTCCTAGTAATGCCAACTCTATCTGGCCTTTCTTTGTAATACCATTTTGTATATATTTATTGCAGTGTAATCTTACAAAAAATACTATTGCCAAGTTCAGATGAAGGTCACTACAATAAATGTGGTTAATATGAGGATCAGCCCAATGTAATCTCAATTAGAAGGAAAGTGACTCATATTGAAAGAGAAATTTCTTACAAACAAAAAGGTGGAATTATAGTAATAAAGTAACTAACAGAGAATTAGATTAAAAAGAATTGAATTTTGTTATTAATATTGCTACTAAATGCTAA